AAATAATACATAACAGAAGAAAATGTGTCCATGTATCTTCTCCGTAAAGGACACAAACATTTTTTACCACTTACCTAAATACAAACAAGCAGTCTTGAGGAGGTAGGCCAAAGAGATGGCTGTACTAAAAGATGGTTGGGAAAGTTGGGTCTAAGACTCCCAACTCCAAGATACTACAGTCAGAGATTTTTAATGTCCGTAGATTTATAGCAATGCAACTTGCAACTCATCATTTGATGTCACAAGATTTTTGCTTTTCTTCGTATAGAAGCCAAATCACCAGGCCTTAAATATGCTCATTTTCAGTGTCCTTGTAGCCAGCGAAGGCTCCTTGGCACCATCCTCCTCACACTACAGCAATCTTATCAAGGTTTTACATTTAGCACCCCTTGTTTCTTTAGATTTATTTAGGCATCTCTAAAGATAAGATTGATCACCACAATACTTCAGTCTCCAATTGTAAAATGGGGGCTGACACAAACAGCTCGCACACAAGGCCGGGAGGAGTGCACATTTGCACTCACATTTTTAAATATCTGAGCCTATGACTGAGAGCTGAGTTCAATAGTTTTAAGTGAAGCTGAAAGGGGACTGACCCATTCAGGACAATTCCCTGCTGGAAGAGGCTGTGGGGGTACAGCTATAGAGAAATCTCTCTTCTCAATGGGGGCTAAACACAATTCTAGGGGATAGAGGCATAAAAACAATCTCCTCCTCTCGTGCCATGACACTGATGCATGGATAGCATTCTCTCGTGACAGATGGCTAATTATAAAATGGTCACATAACTGCCTTGACTATCATTCAAGCTCTTCATCATATTACTCCATTGTAAAAAGTTCCTTTATAGCAGATAGACTTTTCTTGAGAAAATAGTCAAGGTGCTATTTAATTTGCTTTTACAGAAAAATAGTAAATGACTCACTCGTGAAGTAAATGGAAATTAGAGAAACATGGCAGCACACAAGAAGTGAGAACACAGCACAACACTTCAACACACAGATTGTCTTCCCACAGTTAGATGGGATGGATTCATGATGGCAAAAGCAAATTCTCAGCAAAGACGGACAAGAAGCAGCCTTTTAAAAAGTAAAATTAAAAAGAACACTGAATAGAGAAAAAATTAATCACTTTGATGTTTCAGGCTACGTGTTCTCAAGGTGCTGGGGAAACTCTGCAAACACCTAAGAAGTGGGAGACAAAACCCCCAGGCCTGGTGTTAACCAACTAAAAATGTATTTCTGTTGGGAGGGAAACGAGAAATGCCCCTTTCCTCTTATAGATGACCACATATATGGAGTGAAGCTCAGAGATTATGGGCATGGGAGTCTGATTATAAAGTAACATTCCCAACCCCTCCTACCAGCTTTTAGCAGTAAATTAAACTAAACGTATATAGAGTAACATTTTCAGAAATGGCATAATGCAGCAGAAGGGAGGAATGGGTAAGTGGAGTTCATGTGTAGAACCTCTCTTTGGATTCTTCCTTTCTGCCTTCTGATTCCTTTATGAGGGAAGTATGCATCTACAGTACAGAAAGGAGCTGTGACAGAGAACATGAGCCAATCACATCAGAATTGCCCAAGCCACACATCATCCCAAAAGCTGCCTGTGTGGCACAGTGAAACTACAGGACACCTTACCTCAGGAATGGTACAGAGGGCTATTTATGGAAATAGAGGACTGGAGACAGTCTTCCCCAGAGCAGCAGCATGGCACTCCAAGAAAACCTGATCCTAGTGCACAGAGTGGGAAAGTTTGCAACAGGACAAACCTGTCTATAAGAGAAGATCTCTGGGGTGGGATTAAAAGGAGATATTTTCATGTACTCCCAGCATGCAGCCAAAGTGAGAAAATAATATGGGAAGAGAGACATATTTTACAGACTCATCCCATTCTATTTATCTTTGGGTATGTCTACACTACCGCGCTAGTTCGAACTAGCAGGGTAATGTAGGCATACCGCACTTGCAAATGAAGCCCGGGATTTGAATTTCCCGGGCTTCATTTGCATAAGCGGGGA